CGTCACATTACATCCGTCACATTACACCTGTCACATTACACCCGTCACATTACATCCGTCACATTACACCCGTCACATTACACCCGTTACATTATGATGCGGGTGGTATGGTCAAGGACTTGTCAAACATAGATTAAATTCTTCCCAAATTTTACTAATTATAAATTAATCTAATTTGTATAATCCTATACCAATGTTTATATTAAAATCAAAACTATTTTTTTATGAACCTTCATTCAATTATATTTCTCTCAACCATAAACCTGTTTGATACAACTTTCTTGACCGTCTGAAAATCATTTCTATGGTCAAAATCTCTCACATGAATAAAAAAAGCATCAGACTCTTGTCCAGATCTAATGTTATATTTATGATGTTGTACTCTTACTTTAAGGCTTTTTCCAGTTCGACCGAGTAGAACAATAGCTCTAGGCCTTTCGTGTCGCAATCAACACATCATCAGGAGCTTGCAAAGTTGCAGAAAAAAGGAGGATGTCCAAGCAAATACATCCCAAAGGACGTCTTCACTGGAGAGTTCACTCCAATAAAGAGTTACCACTCTACTCCTCCCATGGTGGTTGTTTTGCATCCTGTATCGCTTGGTTTGCGATATTTGCATAAGACTGGTTGGTTCAAAACTATGAGTATCAAGCAAGCGGTGCCTGGTACGAGAGTGGGTCGCGGGGGCGATGATCCCTAGATTATGGCATATGCTCTAATATGCTGACTCCTGGGAATTTTTACTTTCAATGACATTTGTGGGTTTATCTCCCCTAGGTGCACTCCAGTCTTGGTCCTGCTTTTCAAAACCTGTTAGGTTCATGCAACCTAGGAACCCAAGTTTAGTAACCTTTGCCCACTTCCGACAGTTCCCCCGTACGGCCATCGGTCATAATATAAATGCCGAGTAGCCTTATTTCTGATCCCTTGGGTAACTTCAAAAGATAGCACGGGCCAGTAGACCTGCTGCAGTACTCCTCCTTTCTTGTTTTTAAGCATGCACTACAGCCTGCTTGATTAAAGGAGATTAGATTTTATCTTGAAGACAGCTAAGAAGTTGTTGCACGAAGGGAGAGTGCTGAAATCTTGGTCCCCTTACACTTACCGTGTAGCCTCCTTACTTTTTTCTACACCAGCCTGCGTTCAAATGGAGTTAATTTGGACCACTAAAATTTTCCAGAGGGTTAATTGATGTCCCAATTTCAGTACTTAAATGACGTCAATGATTCCCACTATAGATGTTTGATTGAATTTATACTCTGGCAGTAAAAGTTCTGCAGAAGTTTCCCAGTTCTGCACATGTTTTGACTTTAAGGAGGAGAAGCTTCACATACATAACAAGGTCCTAGGGTGATAGCGCCCTTTAACTTATTACGCCCCTCATACCTACTCTTGAAACTGCGTATGATGTTTGCCTTCACTACCTCCCTCTTAGTCTGGTGGGATCCATTTAGTAACCACCGTGAAGGTTAACAATTTTATATTTCGTATCACTCAGACTCGTCTACGTCATTAGCAGAAAAAAAACCTGATTGATCAGGACAGCAACCAGGAGGCTTGGTCTGGGACCGGGCGGCGGGAGCGGTAACCTCCGAAAACAATTACAGGTAACCTACAGGTCCAGGTATGTTGCCTGACTCCCCCTCCTATACAGTTACCAGGACTACACTCCATTAGTTACTCTCGTCACTCTGTCCACAGATTGTAACACTAATCTTCGAGACTGTCCTCACCGGTTTTTACCTTCCTCATTAGTTTCACATCGTCCGTAGTGACAATAATGTCTTGCAGATCATGTACGTACATTAGGAACAAGCAGGAGTCCAAACATTGGTCCTAGGGGTAAAGGAGAGCCTCCGTACACCTGTGTTTGTGTGTGTGTGTGTGTGTGTGTGTGTGTGTGTGTGTGTGTGTGTGTGTGTGTGTGTGTGTACGCACGTACACAAAACGTAACCGCCAATCCCTACACATGTCTCGTATAGTGTGCAACAAGTTCATAAAGCTGAGCGTAAGTCTTGCTGAGTCAAGCTCAGACTTCAAGGTTGCTTGAGAAATCTTAGGCATCCATGGTCAGTCAGGCGCTACCCATCTCTCCCAGTTTTTCTTTCATCTATTCTTGTATCTTTCATCGCCTCTACCTACGCTGCTTTAAGGCACATGTATACACACGTACGTATTTATATACGTATTATTCTAAGTGTGTATACATGTGTATTTATGTACGTATTATTCTAAGCATATATACATACATACGCATTTATGAAAGTAATCTAAGCATGTATACATACGTACGTATTTATGTACGTGTTATTCTAAGCGTGTATACACACATACGTATTTATGAACGTATTCTAAGCAAGTATACGTAAGTATTTATGTAAGCATTATTCTAAGCGTGTATAACTGCCCAGGAGAAAGTTAAGAACTAACGTCACTCTGTGATTCGTAACATTTCTTGTGGGTGTGACGCAGGGTGTGGTATACCACGTCTAGTGGATGTGACGCAGGGTGTGGTATACCACGTCTAGTGGATGTGACGCAGGGTGTGGTATACCACGTCTAGTGGATGTGACGCAGGGTGTGGTATACCACGTCTAGTGGATGTGACGCAGGGTGTGGTATACCACGTCTAGTGGATTTGACGCAGGGTGTGGTATACCACTCTAGTGGATGTGACGCAGGGTGTGGTATACCACGTCTAGTGGATGTGACGCAGGGTGTGGTATACCACGTCTAGTGGATGTGACGCAGGGTGTGGTATACCACGTCTAGTGGATGTGACGCAGGGTGTGGTATACCACGTCTAGTGGATGTGACGCAGGGTGTGGTATACCACGTCTAGTGGGGTGTGACGCAGGGTGTGGTATACCACGTCTAGTGGATGTGACGCAGGGTGTGGTATACACGTCTAGTGGATGTGACGCAGGGTGTGGTATACCACGTCTAGTGGATGTGACGCAGGGTGTGGTATACCACGTCTAGTGGATGTGACGCACGGTGTGGTATACCACATCTAGTGGATGTGATGGTGTGGTATACAGCAAAGCTGGTCTACTTGGTGTGAAGGTGTGGTATACCACGCCTGGTGGATTTGACGCAGGGTATGGTATACTATGTCTAATGGATGTGACGCAGGGCGTAGTATACCACGTCTAGTGGATGTGACGCAGGGTATGGTATACCACATCTAGTGGATGTGACGCACAGTGTGGTATACCACGTCTAGTAGATGTGACGCAGGGTGTGGTATACCACATTTAATGGATGTGACGCAGGGTGTGGTATACCACATTTAATGGATGTGACGCAGGGTGTGGTATACCACGTCTAGTGGATGTGACTCACAGTGTGGTATACCACATCGAGTGGATGTGACGCAGGGTGTGGTATACCACTAGCAGGGTCTCTGACCTCTATAATGCTCACCCCTTCACTGACCGAGTGGCTGGCAGGCCTCTTGAGTGACCACACCCAACACACCCCTGGCAAGGTTGTGAGCTCTCTCTCTCTCTCTCTCTCTCTCTCTCTCTCTCTTTCTCTCTCTCTCTCTCTCTCTCTCTCTCTCTCTCTCTCTCTCTCTCTCTCTCTCTCTCTCTCTCTCTCAAGTGCTTTATTCCTTAATATGCGAGAGCTTTTAGTTGAATTTAGTTTAACACATACTGGAACAGAATTCATGCCATCACACAAAAAAACAGTTCCTCCAACACAAACAATTGTTCCACCATATACAACTGTTCCACTACATAATTGTTCCATCACTGAAACAATGTTCTATTACACAAACAATTGTTCCATCACACAAACAAGTGTTCCATCAAAATTATTCCATCACACAAGAAACAATTAAACCAGAACAACTTATTGCAGATGTAACACTTTGTAGAAGACGCTTTTATCAGGACAAGTTCCTGACCTGTATAGAACATTAGTATAGTGGAAGACTGCAGCAGATCCAGTGGCCCATGCTAGGCAGGTCTAACTCACATCCATCCACACACACATGTACCAGTCCAGCCTAAAGCTAACCAAAGTTCACCTTACCCGGGGAATTTGTTCCATTCATCTGCAACTCTACAGGCAAATCAGTGCTTCCCTATATCTTCTCTAATTCTAAATTGGTCCAACTTGACTCGAACGCTGAAAGTCCTGTATTTTAAGTATTCATATATATTCTTTTTATTCTGGTTTTCCCTTAATTCTATGTCTTTCCTGAGAAGTGTAGACAAATGTTTCAGAGAATCGACAAGTTGATAAATTAGACACATGTGCAACACTTGGGTACTTTTAGGAAACTTTTCGCCACACAGTGGCTTCATCAGTTCTAAATAAAGAATGGTGAAGATGAGGAGTTTGAGGTAATCAGTCCCTCAGTCTGAAATCGATGTAATCAGTCCATCAATTTGTCCTCGCCTGTCTACAGTATAAAAGCTACTTCTTCGAGCATATGCTGTATTCTTTTCAAGATTGATGGGCTGATTACATCGACTGCAGGCTGAGGGACTGCTTACCTCAAACTCCAGCTGATCTTCACCATTCTTTTTTGTTTAGGACTGATGAAGCCAGTGTGTGGCGAAATGTTTCCTCAGTAAAGATACCCAAGTGTTGCACGTGTCGAATTCATTTCCTGAGAAAGTAACGCCAGTGCCGTCAGTCTATCCTCGTAGGAAAAGATTTCTGATAGATAGGATCACCTTCGTCATTCTTATCTGTATGTTTTCCAGTGTGTTTATGTTCATTCTGCAGTAAAGAGACCAGAACCCCAGTTCTGGTCTCTTAATAAGACCTTACCGATAGCGGAATGTTCCAATAAAAGCTGGTTCTATAACGTGGGTTTTCTTTACTAGTGTCGCCAGTACGCCTCTGAACTTGAAGAAATGATAACTTTACTGGACTATAAATCCTCTGGGTTTATAGTCAATACATTAGGAGAGTTGGGTTACAACAGTTTTCTCTAGTAGGCCACCAGTTTTGTCGAATAAAATACCATAAGAGTTTCTAACCTTTACCTGCAACTTCTGGATGTGTCCGCATTGTCCGCAGGCGTAGGAGAGGTAGTCCTGCAGCGACTCCTGCAGCAGCAGCCTCGAGTAGTCCTTGGAGCCATATTCTTCAAGTAGCTTCTTGTACTTGCCTGAGAAGAGCGGGTTCAGATTCTGAAAGGCTTTCAGACGGCCCATCTTCTCACACTTGTTCTTTAACCTTAACGTCTCAGCCAGTACCACGAAAACAACACTGGTAAATCACAGTTCCGTGACTGTTGGGGGAAGTCCTACCATGCTTATGGCGCTGCACACGTTGAAATGCCAGCCAGGTATGCAAGGTTGGCCGAGCTAGCAGCTGCAGCAAAGCCCAGTCAGACCCTCAACGACCTGCAATCACCAACGTAATGCACTCACTCTTCACTTCAGGCGAGAACTGATATATGAATGGAATTTCCATTGCAACGTCACACTTGCAAATAAAGCAGTCTGCGTTATGGGACAGGTTTACAGCAGATAGAGAGCTGGGCAGAGGTCACCCAAAAAAAAAAAAAACTTTGATATTGAGCGCACAGATGGTATACACTAACACCTGCTTACACATATACGCAGTACACAAATACTAAATCCATTTTCATTAGCAAAGCACCGCCATATTATCGAGCGTAAATATTCCAAGACAGTGAAAACTTAAAATGTGAGTTTCGTACAATAAAAACAGTCTTAGCTCAAGAGAGCAGACAAAAACGCAAGACATAGACTGCTAACATCCTGCCAGAACGGGCGCGGGACTCACACTGATGCTCCCAGCAAGGCAGCACCAACCATGGTTTAGGATGGAAAGGGGGGGGGGGGCTGCCAGATACTCCATTTCCACGTGGTCCTCACAAAAACCATAACCTTAATTACCATGAGCTATTGTTCGGAGGGCATCTCTTACCATGGTCCTCCCTCACAGTGCAACAGGAACCAACTGAGGACCGGGAGATCAGCAGCATGATAACAACGTAAAACTTCGAAGCAATATATTCCATAACAGGCCACGTTCAAGGCGTCAAGATTAATGCGTGTGTTAGAGCGTACTGACTTGCGTACATCACCGCAGTTAAGTGAACCTTGTAGAACTCTAACTCACCTTAAAATATTGCCTACGTCTAAACTGCAAATATACGAGAAATGTATATGATATATGAGAAATTTATTTGACATACGAGATATCTATAAAATATACGAGATATCTATATGATTTATCGTATATTTCATAAACAGATATACAAAACAACCACAGCAGGAGTTGAATGATAGCTCTAGGCCTTTTGTGATGCAATCGACACAACAGGAGCCTGCAATGTTGCAGAAATTATTAAGAAGCGTCCCTCTGACCGAATCTTCTGAGATTTCTTACTTATTTCTGCAACACTACAAGCTCCTGATCTGTTGATTGCAACACGAAAGACCTAGAGCTATCATTCAACCGCCCATATGATAGTTATATAATGGGAAATCACACATTATGGCATTATACAGTGATCCCATCTGTCAGCCTGAGGTAAGAGAATTAATTAGGGCAACGAGGACATCGTCAAGCACTGCGGTAAAGGTTAGAACTACAGAGGATCCTAGCTAAACAGATTTTAGCTACGCAGGATCCTAACTAGACAGGATCCCAGCTAAACAGCATGCTAGCTACGCAGGATCCTAGCTAGACAAGATCCCAGCTGCACAGGATCTTACGTACACAGGATCCTGGCTAGACAGGATGTTATCTAGACAGAATCCTAGCTAGGCAGGATTATAGCCAGACAGAATCCTAGCTACACAGGATCCTTGCTACACAGGATCCTAGCCACACAGGATCCTTGCTACACAGGATCCTAGCTACACAGGATCCTAGCTACACAGAACCCTAGCTACACAGGATCCTAGCAACACAGGATCCTAGCAACTCAGGATTCTAGTTACACAGGATCCTAGAGGAAGTAGGTTAAATTGTTTGACCTGGCCGCACTACATACCTGGCCACACTACATACCTGGCCACACTATATTTCTGGCCATATGACATACCTGGCCACATTACATACCTACATTACACACTATAAACCAGACCACACTACAAACCTGACCACGCGACAAACCTGGCCATACCTCATCTTAGAGAGTACAAGAAGATTCTTCCCCGGAACAAAGAATATACCAGCATCAACGAATGGCAACTAATCTGTAACAGAAGATTAAAGATGAAGATAACGATGCGGATGATGGGTAAGATAAGATAAGATTAGATAACTACTGATCCCTCGGCTGTGTTGCAGGACGAATGTTTGTAGATGAATGGTTCAGAGAACCGACATGTTGATAAATTAGACACATGTGCAACTCTTGGGTATCTTTATTGATTGATGGACTGAAGACATCGACTCAAGGTTGAGGGACTGATTACCTCATTCTCCTCCTGTTCTTCAAGTTTCTCCTATGTATGGACTGATGAAGCCACTGTGTGGCGAAACGTTTCCTCAATAAAGATACCCAAGAGTTGCACATGTGTCTAATTTATCAGGACGAATGTTGTTGTACCATCGAGGATGACACTATGAAAGCCGCTATATATGTAATATTTATAGCCCTAATGTTTTAAAGGGGGTAGACCGGCAGTGGAAGGCCTCGGTCAGATGACCAAAAGCTCCAGTGGCGGGTCATCTTATGACTAAAACCGGAATCAGGAAACACTTGTCCTGTTTCCTGATAAACCTTACCTACCCTAACCTACCCTAACCTAACCTAACCTAATCTAACCTAACCTAACCTAACCTAACCTAACCTAACCTAACCGAAAGCCACTATTGAAGATAATGTTGTTGTAGTGGGGACTCTCAGTTTAAATTTCTAGACATGAGCGTCAATAGATGTGGAAATGTTGTGCATGAATCGTAATAATACCGGCAAGATGGAGAATTAGACAAATGTGAAACATCTGGGTATCTTTATTTGTAGACGTTTCGTCATCCAGCGGCTTTATCAGTACAATGCAAGGACAAAATGTGAAGACAGTAGAACTATATACATGAGGTAATCAGTCTTGGAGTTGAAGAGCACCGGTGCTCGGCACCACTTTCTTCAAATTTAGAAATATATTGAGTGGTAATGAAGGTCGTGGCCCAGAGTTATTTTGAGTACCAAACAGAGGAACTAAAAGTCACAATGATATTTAGTTGGTTCAATACTTCAGTACTTTGCTTTCACACGAAAATCCCTGCAATGAAAAGCAGGGGCGCCACTAACACGATAAGAGACAACACAATAAGTGTCAGGGGCCCAAGACTGTTCAACTATCTTCCAGCATACATAAGGGAGATTACCAGTACACCCCTGACTATCTTCAAGAAGGCAATGGACAGGCTCCTAAAGCCAGTACCTGACCTGAGGGCTGTGGTTCGTACGTCGGGTTGCGTACGGCCAACAGCAACAGCCTGGTTGATCAGGCCCTGATCCACCATGAGACCAGGTCACAGACCGGGCCGCGGGGGCGTTGACCCCTGAAACCCTCTCCAGGTACACTCCAGCAGTCTGGAGTCACGTGACACACACTTCAGAGTCCTAGCTAAGTGCCTGTTTTTTTTTTTTGTTTTGTTTTGGACGCCATCTGTGTAAACAGTCGTCTGTTTTCAGCAGACTTGGAATATATCAGCTTCAGGGTTGTAACTCCGTAATGGCTGAACCAACGAACATTTCCAATTTATTAAAATTTATTGAAAATGCCATTTTCCATAAGATGAAGAAGTTTGAATCATTTTTTAAGTACAAATATTGAAGTATTTCGAGAAATATATAAAAAATTAGCATATTTTTACAAGTTCATATAATTTAGTATAATTGTAACAAATAAAGAGCAGTGACTGATATGTGTATTAATATATTTTATATTGTATATATAACTGACATGTGTATGTTAATATACAGTAAGGCATACTGACACTTCAAAACAATAATACAATCAAAATAAAATACTGCATTTTATTCTGTCACAAAATAAAATACTGCATTTTATTCTGTCACAAAATAAAATACTGCATTTTATTCTGTCACAAAATAAAATACTGCATTTTATTCTGTCACAAAATAAAATACTGCATTTTATTCTGTCACAAAATAAAATACTGCATTTTATTCTGTCACAAATAAAATACTGCATTTTATTCTGTCACAAAATAAAATACTGCATTTTATTCTGTCATAAAATAAAATACTGCATTTTATTTTGTCAGTATATGTGTGTATTGTTACCTGGTCATCAGTCTTAAGACTTTTTGTTTTATATAACCAATTTAAAGCCGTCTTAACAAGTGAGCCAAAATAAATTAGTGTCCTGGACACACTGACGTATTTCAACCAAAGTTGATAAGTAGGAATATGGAATAGGTAAACTATTGTAAAAATTGCAGTTATTTCTTCACTTTTTCCTGTATAACCTGTAACTCAAGAGTGATCCAGGAATACATCTGAAATGTATGAAAGGTAAGAACCGTGACTGAATGTTGTGTTACCTGGAGTTTACCTGGAGTTTACCTGGAGAGAGTTCCGGGGGTCAACGCCCCCGCGGCCCGGTCTGTGACCAGGCCTCCTGGTGGATCAGAGCCTGATCAACCAGGCTGTTGCTGCTGGCTGCACGCAAACCAACGTACGAGCCACAGCCCGGCTGATCCGGAACTGACTTTAGGTGACAGTGCCACAACTGACACTGTAAATTAGTCATCATCATCACTGCAAAACACATCCTCATTTGCTCAACCATCAGTAAAGATACTAGTAAAGATACTAGTAAAGATACTAGTAAATATACTAGTAAAGATACTAGTAAAGTCACTAAAGAACTGGATGTTATGCTGTATTACAGGGCAAAAATTAATAAAGTAATTCAGTAATCATGGTCTTCACTGTAACAGATCCTACGCATCTTGCTGTAGGTTATCATCATCATCATTATTCATGTCTGAACATGACTAGAGATTGCATGCAGGTGCGCATTTAACAGAATTTAAGATATAAGATATAGCCTGCTGGCCTGCAAGCCTTTGTACGTTTACCAGACATCAGAGAATGGACCACATCTGGAGCAGCAGCAGCAGCAGCAGCAGCAGCAGCAGCAGCAGCAGCCTGCTGCTGCTGCTGCTGCTGACGGTGTCACATATAGTCCAGAAAGGTCACTGACGGTGTCACATATAATCCAAGGATGCAGTGACAACAATGCAGAGGATGTTCCTTTGCCAAGTGTTGCTGCCTGCCCTATAATATCAACTGGAATACTTGACGATGTCCTCATTACGTGATGAATGTAACCCATCGTGTGAGATAGAATATGACAGGAAAGCATAGCTTTTGTTCTCATTGTGTAACTGTCATACAGAAAAGTGTAGCAACACACTGCTGATGTATACAACTCCACTAGATCTGTCATGTGTTCCCCGCTATGTTATATGAGCGCTATCAACACGTATCAGACACCCACATCAACACTAACACGCTTAGGCACCAACAACACTAACACGTACCTCATGAACCAACACTAACACGTACCTCATGAACCAACATTAATATATACCTCATGAACCAACACTAGCACGTACCTTATGAACCAACACTAACACGTACCTCAGGGACCCAGAGACATCAACAACAGACCCAAACATGGGTGCACTACCTGGGAAGAGAAGAAAAAAAATCAAGAAAGTGGCAGATTAACCATAACACACAACACTGTACATAATAACACAACAAAACACAACACAACACTGTACTATAATAACACAAACAAACACA